AAGCATTTAAAGTAGTCTATTTGATTTTTAAAGCAATTGGTCTTGTAGTTATTGAGATGCTAAGATTTAGGTTAAAAGTAGGGGCTAAAACTTAATATCTCAATAACCACATAACTAATTGCTTTAAAACTGAAACAGAGCTCTTTAGACGCCTATAAGAGGCTAATCACATAGTTTTATAATTTATTACTGAAGGGTTGTTGAGATATTAAGTTATGAAATTCGTGATTTATAGTGTAAAATAGAGTGGTCCGTTCGCTATGCTGGCCCACTCGCTATGCATGTACGTTAGCTCATAAATTGACTTTATTGTTAGCCAGGCCAATGAAGCTTTTAACTGCCGCCGGCCCGCAAAAATGACTCGGGGGGTAGTTTGGCATTGTAATTCCAATGGTGTAATTGTTTACAGGATCAGAGTAGAGATAGGAAAGTTATAGTCAGTTTTTAAGGCCATAAGAAGGGAGGCAACAAGGGGGAAAGTAGGAAGAGGATAACATTCCCAAGTTGGGCACAGCACGACCGTGCATTAGTGCATGGGGTGTAGTATGGCATGAGGAGCCTTGCCTCTGCCAAGTCGATCTGCACGGGTTACAACCATGGCAGGGCAAATCATACCCATCATGAACCCGGTTTCGTCGAAGTTATAGAAGTCGCAGTCCAATACACCGTATTTTGCCCTCATATTTTCCACTAGTCGAAACCACGTGCCAATTAGATTAGGATCTTCGCATAAGGCCCTTTGGAAATTGTAAACGCGATTAAAACGCGTCTTTAATTCTGGATGTTGTTGTACAAATCGGTGTGCCCAGAGCTTCCTGATGCGCTTCCCTCCGCGTGATTCGAGAATAAAATTTGCCATATCTTCTACACCAGCAAGCTGGGGTGCAAATCTTCTTGAATCCATATCAAGTATATTCCGAATAACCTCCTGCTCTTCCAGTATAGTTAATTTGGTCATTGCAGGCCGGCGTTCATAGACAGTAGTTCGGCCGTTCATTCTGTCACAGAGTGTAGAATGAGGTACTTCATAGAGCTTAGCAGCCTTCCAATGACTTAGATTTTTTTATGTTTGGATAGCCTCAATAGCTAGAATGATTTTTGCTTCTTGGGTAATCACTGACATAATAAAAGGTGGAAAAAACGCGTTGTGAAGTTAGAGGGTAGGAAATTCGGGAAAAGTGTCCGAGGTACTGATATGTCCGACATACTGATAAACCACGTTATACACGTACGTTACTCTCTTTTTTTGTATAAATATCTCCACACGCCCAAAAATCTTGACACGGCACTCAGTCCATTTGGTGGATAACATCATGTAATTTACCGATTAGGATTAGCTCTTAATATTATGAGTAACGTACATGTATAGCGAAAGCGCCAAACAAGCGAAAGCGCCAAAATTATCTACCCTCACGACAAACATTGCGATAAATCTACCACAACATTAGAAATCAATTGAAACTACTCGGAGTCCTCTTCCTCAGAGGTGTCTATTACAATCTGACACGTGCGCGCATTGTGCCCAGTCTCACCACACTTGCCACAGCGACGGGCACGGGTTTCTTCCCTTGGCTTCCGACCACGGCTTGCCCTTATTTCCTGCTCTACCTGCTGCACAACATCCCTCTCATCCTGTAGCTCTTGCGCCCCTTGTTGACTAAGTGATCCTCCTTGCTGTAGTCGTGTTTTCCTAGCTCTCCGGCGCTTGCTTAGTACTTCATTTGCCTGTCGTAGGTTTTGGTTCTCTCCCTTTAGCAGTGCTAATTGATGCATTATTTGCGATGCACCCTTTGTAAACTGGTCAACAGCTGCATAGATTGAGGTTGGAGAGCTATTTTGATGGCGTGAAATCCGAGTTTTAATAAATGTAGACTGTGACATAGCTTCAATTGGGTTGTTTGGTGTCTGAGAAACCCAAGGTTGAGCAGTACCTGGGCGGGAGCTTGGAGGCGTTGGTGTCCTTAACTTAAGATCAAGTGTAGATATCACTCTCTCAGGGTCAAATGGAAGAAGCCCTGCCCCTCGGAACCCGCCTCAAATGTTACTTTCCGTCATTGTAGTGTTAAATGCAGCGTGGAAGGCAGGAAAGAAGTCATCCTTTGTAATATGAGAAATATGAGCCTGCATCATATCTTCAATTTGCCGACCATAGGCCTGCTTTAACGGGCCGAAATGTAATGGTGGGTGCACCAGATATGAGAATCTAGCCACCCAAGGAAGGGATGAATTTACTAAGACAACACACTGTCTTAGGAAACAGAGCCAAAGGGTTGTAGCTTAGACTATTCCACAACGCAGCAATCAGGTGTATGATGTGGTGAAGTGGTTTAGACAAGTTGCAACAAATGTTGAGTCTGAGAACTCAGGGGTAAGTCAGAGGTTAGCACCTCACTGACTTTTCAAAAACAGAGAATAACAAGATCAATGCTTGGAAGCTTGGAAAAGACGTAGAAGTATGTGCTAGTCGATTTACTGTATTGCCTGCTTGCCCTTTCTTAAGGAAAGGGCAATCCTATTTATGCCAAAGGAGTGTAGTTCTCTCATTTTCCATGACTTTCCATGACTAACCAGGCTTGGTAAATGTATTAGAAATCAAGTGCGACCCACAACTAGCTTGCTAATCATGTAGTGAACGTAAGAAAATCCCATAGAACCATCTCTTGGGTTCCTAGCCTATAGGAAGTGAAAAGGAGGTCCAAGGTCAGAGTACCTATAGACAAATTATGTCATAACTTAACCAATCTTGTGGGTAACTAAGGAGCGATGACGTGTAATGAATCATAGAGGGTTGTAGAAGCTTCTAGAGCTATCGTTCATGTTCCTAGGCCTCTAGTTGGTAGAGATATGCCATGTGGTAGTATTGGCCCACCCCCTTAAGGAGGAGATTTTCTTAATAACTTGTTCAATGAGTGTCCAAATGATATGCCGTGATGTATGTAGCATAAACAGATGTAGTAGAAGAGTTTGCAGCAATCGTTGAGTAGTATTGCTTCTGTTGTTGGTGTGATAAGCCAAGATATGTATGGTGACTTGTAGGTTTGAGGAGGAGATTTCTAAGTTTGCTCTTGAGTTTGATAGCAAACTGAGTGCAACGAATGTCAGTATGACACGAAACAGCCAACATCAAGTGGCTGGAGTAGATGAGAAGAGTGAGCAGGCATACAAAGCGTAATAATGTTGTGTTCCTTGCAGTACTCCTCAAACTCATCTGAGTGGTGGCTCTCATGACCATCAAGGACTAACAAGCGATAACCACCAACACTCCGGGCCTTTGTATGCTTCTCAAAGTGCTGAATCCAATCCATGCCTCTCTCGTTTGTAGTCCAGCCATTTTCAGTAACAGAAATCACCCAATCGCTTGAAAATCCACTATTCTCATACCAAGATGTAAGGTGGTTTTTGCCTGCAACAATGATAAATGGTGGTACTGCCCAACCTTGAGAACTAACGCCTTGGATTACTGTAACCCATTCCCGATTACCAGGCTGTACCTTCTTTGCTTTTGCCTGCCCGTCTGAGCTTGTTACAACCATAGCAGTTGAGATAACGCCCATCATAAACCCAGTCTCATCAAAGTTGTAGATATCTGCTTCATCGATACCATATTTCGCAATTGTGTTACGCACAAGCTCAAACCAGCCATTAATAACTTCTGGATCTTCGCACTTAGCCCTCTGGTAGTCGTATTTGCGCTGAAAGCGTGTCTGGAGCTCTACACGCCGCTTAACAAAGTTTGAATCCCAACGCGACCCAACGCGTGACGCGTCGCGTGTTGCAAGTAGTCGACTTGCCATATCTTCAACAACAGACAGCCGAGGAGGAAACCCTTTGGCAGCTAGGTCGAGTATATACTGAACAAGGACGGACTCCTCTAGGTTAGTTAATTTCCGTGAGTTGGCTTGGATATCGCGTCGTGAAGGTACACCTTCTAGACGACGACCTAGCTTGCGGTGATCCACAGAATAGATCCTAGCAGCAACTCGAAGGCATAACTTTGGGTCGCTTTGCATAGCCTGGATAGCTAGCACTAATTGGCTTTTATCATTTTTATGGGGCATGTTTTGTTGTTGAGGAATTTAACATTTAGTTGGGGGGTTTGGTCACCGCATCATTTTGGCGCTTTCGCTTGTTTGGCGCTTTCGCTATACATGTACGTTATAGTCATTAAATCATCAACCACAATGGCCTGAGTGCCTGAGGTAAAGTCGTACTCGTCTGCTGAGCCTATGGTCCACTATTCACGTGAGTCGTCACAGGAGGCTTAAACTGTCGCGTACGAAGACTTTCGTCAAGCAATGACTGTCTTAGCTTTCGACAATGAATTCAAAAGTAACGTACTGAAGCTAGTTTAGAGAACTGAAACACATAAAGTAATATTTTCTCATGGTTTTAGCGTAGTTGCTATCGAAATTGTCTCATATCGAATTCGACCACTTTGTCCGCAACTCTTACAAAACCAATGTTTGATTCGCTTTCTTCCTGGGCCGTTTCGTTATTATCATGCCCATTATTTTGCTATATTACTTGAAATCACCTTTGGCCACGCATATCAATACATTCTAAATCCGATCTTAATCGTTCTCTAACTTCGGCTCTTGATGAGCGTCGAGAATCAAAATTTATAGACTGCTGGTGAAAAGAATTTGAGAGAAACGAACTCAAGATCTTTCATATGCTCGTAAAGGGTGATTCCTACCCCCACTGAGGTATTAACAAAGCCTACGTTGACTACAATTGAGAATGTAAGTCGTAATGTTGATGTTCAAGCAATCTAAGAGCCTCCTTTTGTTTGAGCCTCTTGTATGACGCAACATTGGTAATCAATTTCGCATATGGTAATCTTATATACATGCCCAGGTCGTATGCAATTCAATCGAAACTGGCTTTAAATGAATTGCAGCGATCTGGTGACATCAAACAAAAGTCTAATTTCATGTAATTTCACCTTATCGGCTCAAATTACATATCAGCTCTGAGGTATGTACTGTACACAGCGCCGTCTAAATTAACAATTTCTTCTGGCACCCCTGGATGATATCCTCCACCTCGGTATATGTTTGGCCCTGCACCCAAAGACTCTTTCCTCGAACCTTTTCCACGGGCTCTGTCGCAAGAATAGCCACCGCCGAAGCGACGTCACCTGGGGAGCTGACGGGAACTTCAACTGGAAGGCTGTCTATGATTGCCTGCGTCATCCTGGTTTGTGTGATCGAAGGCGCGACAAGAGAAATTGAAATGTCATTATCGATGCATTCTTTCCTCAGGGAAGTCGCTCGGACCAGTCCCAGTATTGCGTGTTTTGAGGAGCAGTATAGAGCGTGGTCGTCATAGCCCGTGTATGACGCCGTAGAGCCTATTACCACGATGCGACCACCATTCTTATTTGCAATCATATAGCGCATAGCAAGCCTGATGTTGTACAAGACGCCGAAAACATTGACGTCAAAGATCTTGGTGGCTGGAGGCTGGAGGAGCTCCGGGTTTGCTGGCTGATATTCGTCGACGAGGAAGTCGTACATTTTGCCGTTGGACGGCATCAGCTCGGGATTAATACCAGCATTGCAGACAACCAGGTCTATCCGCTTGAAGGTTGAGGCTACAAGCTTGAAGAGATGGACTTGATCGGCCCAGGATGTCACATCGCACCGCACAAATAGAGCATTCTCGCCAAGTTTCTTCTCCGATTCTTTGCCAACCTCGTCGTCAATGTCGGCAATAACCACTTTTGCACCAGCACTTGTAAACAGCTGGGCAACTGCAAAACCTATGCCCAGTGCGCCACCTGTGACTATGGCGACCTTGCCGGTGGCCCATGTCTGCAACAATTCAGTGCTTGGAATCGCAAATGCTGAGGCTGCCATTGCGAATGAAACAGAGCTTGGAGTACAGAAGTAGCTAGTCGAAGTTTTGTATAAAAGTGATGGCTAAGTAATTTGTGAAATCGCTTTGATTTTGGAGAGAAAAAGAAGACAGGAGCAGAAGCGAAGTCGTTGAACTGCAGAGATGTTTCATTGGTCAGCTAGATAGTTATGTAATCAGCTTATAGCCAAGGTTCTATTTGCACAGGTGTTCAAATAGTACGAATAGAGTAGACATGAATAGTACAATGTAAGCTGATGACTCGTCTGATCGCTGACAGAAGTGCATGGAGAGACGAGGGTGCTAGGGGTGCGAGGTGCCCGAACCAGTAGCAGAAGTCGGGGTAGAGTGCTCGGAGAAGCTACCTTATGAAATACTTATGAAATAAGCGACGTCTGAGAGTCCAGCAGTCTATCGCCTATAGCTGATGGCTTTTTCCTTACTCAAGATCTGTGCCACTTTGGCCTAAGCAGCATAAACTACGAGTGTTCAATTTTGAACAAGGAAGATGGAAGCAAAGGTCACTTCAAACTCTGTTACTGAGTCGGCCGTCATCAATGCGCCGCTGTCCTCGATCTGGCCACTCCTGAGGCTGACCGAGTTTGAGAAGTTCTACACTGGAATTATCAAGACCGAGATAGTCCCGTCATCGGGCGAGACGGACAAGAAGACAATCCGGTGGACTTTTGATGAGGGTTACACCTTGGATGTGCAGGAGGAGGAATACTCGGTACGTTTGGCGATATCTCGTCGTGACAGGCTCCATCTAACAACGGACAGAACATCAAGCATTCCATGTCTTTTAACATCGTCAAATGCGAGCCTTGGGGCCTTTCATATACAAGTGTGTTGAGTGTCATCCGCCTCTATTACATTAGCAGCGGGTCTGATCAGGGGAAAACATTTGTGCAATGGAGCGGGCATTACTCAAGTGACGCGAGTGCAGGTAAGCTGTCAGGTCTGAATGTATTCACGTATGACTACCGCTCACTCTCCATTTAGAGGTTGTTTTAGATGGCCACGTGAAACGTCGGGAGGCACTTGTCGACCTCGCCAGGGCAGTCGAGAAGTGAATGAGAGATGTAGAAGACTGATGGGCTACAGTCCTTGTGACTACGGTGCTCGTGGAACACGCTGATTGATGCAGTCGCTCCGTCATGTCCAGATCTGCAAAAAAGCAATGAATATCATTAAATGATATTATCAAATCTATTCAGCTATAGCTTCTAAGAAATAATGAAGTATGAAACCGCGCTAAATGACCACCGAATTCCGCCCTCAATTGACGGGATTATAGAACCGGAAACGATTGGACGGATCATAATCGGCTTTGACGCGACGGAGCTTTGCGACCCGCCACGGCTCATGACCATACCAATCCTGCACAGTCTCAAAACCACTTGCATAGTTGACGTATACATCAGGCTGGCGGGTAGGCTGGCCGGCGTTCCAGAGGTCCTGAACTTCTCTCGCCCACTTCCACATCTGATCTTGATCCTGTTTACTCGCGTTAGCGGCGAGGTTGCCTTGGAACTGCGTGAGGTGGATGTTATCGCGGAAAGGATAGGCAGAGTCCGCCGGGTTTACAGCTTTCACGCCCTCCGTCGAGTAGCCCTCGTGAATAATGTAAGGCCCCGTTGCAAGGCTAGGCTGCTCCGCGATGCGCTTTGTAAATGAGTCAAAGATTTGCTGTTCCGCCGTGAGGTTGAAGACACGCAGGCCGGCGGTGGTGATGAGTCGTATGGTACTGCTGGTGCATGCAGGATCGTCGAGCCCAGTACTCTGAGCATGGGCAAGGCTGGGATAGGGGACACTGCCAGAGTCAATGCTCACGGCGGCAATGGCATCAAAAGGTTTGAAGTACTTGGCGGCCTCCGCTGCGGATCCGCGAAACGAAAACTGCCAGGCGATGACTGGTTTCTTGATGTCAATAGCTGGAATGTATAGGAAGAGGCCGTTATTATAGGTCATGTTTACGGGAGTTGTTCCGTTGCCGTGAAGAACGTTTATGGCTGTAAAAATGTCGTTGAGCTTGTCGCCTTTCCAAAGATAGTTCTTGTAGAGCCAGGTAGAAGGTCCGTGAGGATAGAGGTTCATCTCGGAACTCGTAACAATGCCAAAATTGTGGCCGGCACCTCGCATTGCCCAATAGAGATCGATATAGCTTGTGGCATTGACGCGAACTGCCGAACCGTTTGCGAGCACAACGTTTAGCTGGCGTATGTTGTCGGAGATCATTCCATAGACCCCCTCAAGGCGTCCGTGACCACCCCCAAGACCAACTCCAGCAACACCGACGCAATCGCAAGCTCCAGTAGTAGTCACGTAGCCTTTGTCCCAGAGATAGGCGTTGAGCGGCCCACCGCGAGTGCCGCCTTGTAGCCAAGCAGACTTGCCATCTGGTTGTATGGTAATCTGGGTCAGTTTACTCAGGCTTATCATAACACCGTTGAACCTTCCGAGCGTTGCGGTCGATCCATGACCAGTATTGTACGCCAAGAAGTCGATACAATTTTCGTTGCAGTATTTGACCTGCAATGATGTTAGACGTGATCAGCTCAAGTAGAGAAGAAGAGACGTACAACTTTAGCAACATCCGATTCCGCGCCAACTTCAACAACCACAGGCACTGTGGGTGCTGCAAAAGTGTCCCATCTATGTGTTGCGTTGCTGTATGCGGGGTCGCTGGGTCCAAAGATGGTGGTTGACGGGGACAGCTGTGCGCCAAGATCACGCTGTATCTTGACGCTCAAGATGTTTCGAGAAGTGCTGCCACGCGGTTGAGTGTGACCAGCAGCCAGGGGACCTGCAGCTACACTGTGAAACAAGGCAAGGCTGGCTGCCAATCCTGTCGAGATCTTCATCTTTTCTGTGACAATGCCTGCCAAGTCTCCAGTCTACCCAACGACACAGACACAACGGAGCAAATGATAAAACAGTGGAATAAGAGAAAGGATGTGCAGAAGTTCCCTGATGAGCGACGCATGTACAGTGCACAGCGAATTATATAAGACCTGACTAGGCCCGAGAACAGTATGAAATCAAATAAAGGCGTCTGGACAATAACTGGGGTGCTGTACCCATTCCTAGGGTTTTCAGGAAGAACAATACACGCGTTACTGAGGTGTAGAGAGTGTAGAGAGTGTAGAGGGTGCATTTGTATTTCCACTTGCGCGTTCGCTTGCAGAACGACCCATCAAGAGATTGGACGGGTGTAAGGAGTGTAAGGGGTGTAAGGGGTGTGAGAGATGGCGTTCTCTTCTGCAAGCCCAGGCGAGGTGTAGAGGGTGTTGTCTGACATAGTCTCTGCATATTGCAGTACCTCGTCACGCAAAATGGCCGGTTTTCAGTATAAACTCTGTATTCAAGCGGCCATTTAGTTTTACCCCTGAGGGTTTCTGATACTGAGAACCTCCCATTATTACAGATGAGGCCTTCGAAGCCCGGGATTCGTTGATCTTTAGAAGGGAAATATATCCGACCCGACCCGCATATGCATGATTACGGCCCCCATGAACCGAGAAATACGGCTATCACATTTCCCCCACCTAATAATGCACGTATCCTGGTACCGTGCCTCACAAACCCCACCCGATACGCGAATTTTGCTCCGCTTGATACGCCGTAAGTTTCGTAGAAAGAACCTTTGTCCAAGAGATAGATGTAGTCAGCTTAGAAGCAAGCATTTGCGGGGTGGCAACGGCAACATGCCGAGCCCCCCGACCGCCAGATGGCAAGCGATGCTTTTCACTGAATGCTCACCAAAAGCTGGCCATTCTTTTTGGCCAGCGCGTGGATGGGTAGCATTTCCAGGACCGCTACACAAGACAAAAAGATGCCGCAGGAGGAGGATGCCGTGAGCTTGATGGTAGGTGCTTGGAGCTATTAGGTACGACAGCATTTCACCTGCTTCGTTTCTTTAAACTCACTTCTCCTCGTCGTTCGCCATTGTATGTTGCCCATCATGTTTATACCAAAACCGCAACTGATATCCGAGCTGTCCCTCGACGCCCCCAGCCCTCCTGTGGTCAACATTCCGCGTGAAATTCGACGTTCCATCAAGGTCAACGAGTTCTATAGCAAAGCCTTGGATGAACACGGACCCGTCATCGTTGTTCCTAGACACGGCCGCAATGAGTATGTCATTGATCATCGATACGCCCATCAGGTTCTTACCGACACCAAGAACTTCACCTTTGAGAAGGCCGTCTTCGAATTGCTGCACCTGGGCTTCCTGGCGCTTTTCGACAACGGTGCTTTCGTTCACGATGTCGACAGCCTGGTCGAGAAGAACGTGCAGCCGCGCATGAATGCCATGATCGACGAGCTGTTCCCCGTCTTTCAGGACTATTTTCACCGTTTGGCGGACGAGCTACCGGCTGGCAGCAAGACATATAGCGAGTTTCCAGACATCTTCCATCGCATACAGCTCGCCGTTGGCCACGCCATGGTCGTCATGATTCTGGGACAAGCACATGCTTCCTCAGTTGTCGCAGCTCACTTTTCTGCGGTAGCTGTTGCAATGGCCAACATGACGGGAATGCACGAGAATACGGACGAGTGGACTCGACTGCCATGGCTGTGGGTCATCATCAATGGCTTTTCAGCCATATTTTTCACCATCATCCCGAGATTCTTCTTCCAGGTGGTGCCCATGCTGTGGAAAGCACGGCATGAGCATCTTCAAAACGGCCTGGCAGCGCGTCACGGCGAATTTGTTCCCCTCTTTGATATTCTGCTCACGAAACACTACCATGGGAAGACCGGTCTGTCAGCGCTTGCCGGCTTCTTTCGCTGTCTCATCCTGTGCGTGGGCATCATCTTCGCTTCCATCCATCAGACTGTGGTTGCTGGCTCATGGGTCCTGATCAAACTGGCGCAGAAGCAGGACGAATACCTGCCTGCGATCCGCCAAGAATGGGAGTCAGTCAACCCGCCGGGCGAGAGCCTCAATGTCAAGAAGCTTAGCCAGCTCACGCTGCTCGACTCCTTCATCCGCGAGGTCCTGCGCACCAAAGGCGACAGCTGGGGTCCGGTGCGGCAGACAACGCAGCCGGTCCGTGTCGGTCCCTACCTGCTGCCCAAGAATGCCATGTGCATTGTTCTCATCTCTCGTGCACATCAGCACCCGGACAATTACGGCGATGCAGGCACCGTCTTCGATGGCTTCCAGTGGCAGAAACAAGAGCGAGCTGCGGTGCAAGGCAATCCCGAATTCCTGACCTTTGGATTGGGCCGGTGGGCCTGCCCTGGCCGCCAGCTGGCTATTCACGAGATTAAAATCGTGCTCTACATTTTCTTCTCACAGTTCGACATCAAACTCAAGGCTAACACTTTCCATGTTCGAAACACTATCAATACTACTTCGGTTGCGCCAGAAGCTACCTTGTTGCTGCGGCGAAGACAGGATATGCCTATCAGCTAGTTAGATTTCCTGGAGAAGGGTAAGTTGTGAGGGGTTATCCACTTCCGCTTTTGATGTCGGGCTGAGATCTACATGTGCCAAGAGCTGGATATAACATACGTGCAAGCTTGTTAGCACTCGTATGAGAGAGAACAGAAGAGTATGGAACCGGAACATGTCTTGCTTGTTGTTTTAGATGAACTTTATCATTCGGTTTGCATACACATAGGAAATGCAACTATTGACATGTGCACTGTAATATCTCATTACGCGTCCCAGGACGTGTACAAAATTACATGCTGTCGGTCCCAATATCCCATTGATCCAGGGAATGATAACTGTGCCTCATCACGGCACAAAGTTATCCTAGCGATGAACCAATATTGTCAGTACAGGCGACAACTAATGTTAGAAGATACCATGATTCATCCCCAAGCAGATCATATCACCGAGCAAATCACTTTCTGATACTCTCCTACCTTGAAACATCTACTACTTTGAAATATAACAAATCAAATACAACGTATTAAGTTAACTCAAACTACTCGAAATCTGATGAGCTAATACATCTACAACTTCCTTGCAAATTTGTATATTATGACCAGTCTTCTCACACATACCACACCTCCCTACGCTTGATTTCCCTTCATTTCTACAAATCCCTCCTAATCGCTTTGGCGTTTTATCTGCTCTGTTACTTCCCTTTAAGCAGCTAAACTATCGAGTACATCGTCTCCAGTAATTTGTTACGGCGGTGCAGCGGCTCCGGACCGGAACAAATCCATATGCGATATGAGAACGGATCGCGGGATCGCGCGACCCAGCTACCACGATCGCTGGCAGCAGCGATCGCTAGCCACGAAGAGTCTATATAAGCAAATAGTATCTTATTAGATAGGAGATTCGTGCTCAACTCAATACAGTATTTCTCATATACTAGTAACGTGCATACTTGAGAACGAATCCTTCGTATCATTGAATCCCTATGTCACAACCCCAACCCAACTCTCAAGACCGCTTCCATCATAGAGCAGTCTACGGACGTTACATAATTACACCCCTACAAACGATTGCACCATTGGAATCCTCATACCTAACCACCCCCCATATGCTATTGAACGCTGGCCCTATGTATGATATGGGACTGTTGTCCCCTTAACCCCTCACCCCCTATACATTGGAAAACTGGCCACAACTTCTCCATCTCTTCTCCAATTCTACCAACGATTGCACCCTTGGAATCATCGTACAAAACTACCCTATATCTGCCCTCAAATGGGCGTGCTGCTTGTATTGTGGGAATGTTGTCTTCTTCTTATATTGCCCCCCCATCTTACCCTTTATGCTTTGGAAAACTGGCTACAACTTTACCATTCTTACTCCGATCTGGCAAACGATCACACCGTTGGAATTGTCGTACAAATCTACCTCCTATCTTCTACCTAACGCATGCCTGATATGTAACGTGGCATGTTCTCCTCTTCTTTACCCTATTACTTACTACCCTCTATTACTGTTGCAACTCGCCTATAACTTTCCAATCTCTGCTTTGATCCTGCAAACGATTACCTCGTTGGACTCCTCATGCTACACTACACCCCATGCGCCAATGCACGGGCGTGGTGTGCCCAACTTGGGAATGTTATCCCCTTCTTACTTCACCCTCATTGTAACGCTGACTTCTAAACGATAGAAGACACAGAGGTTCTCTTGCGTAAAGGTTTACTTATCAGAGGAGGCAGGGGATCAGACACAAAGGCTTCAAGTAACACGTTACTAGTATATAACAAATACTGTATTGAGTTGAGCACGAAGCTCCTATCTAAGGAAATACTATCTACTTATATAGTGGCGTCGTGCCTAGTGGACTCTTGGGAACTCACTTGAGTCCTCAGAGTCCTGGACTCTTAGGACTCTTCTCATCATCCTGCGAGTCCATCACGTGCCTAGTGGACTCCTGGGAACTCACTCGAGTCCTCGGAGTCCTGGACTCTTAGGACTCTTCTCATCATCCTGCGAGTCCGTCACGTGATACTTTCGGAACTACTATTCCCCGCTGCCCCTCCAGATACCAGGGCCGGTCTCATGCGACCTCCCTCCTTCCTGTCCTGTAGTTGGCCAGCCTTCTTGTTCCGTCGTAACAGAGGGGCAATAGACTGGCGCTGTTCAAAGCAGAAGACTGTGTCAACCTCTACAACAGAGGCAGAGCTTCTAGCTTTGTCCCACAGTGCGAAACAGCTCTATTGGTGGCAGCGTTTTTTTAACACAATCAAACTCGATCTAAACGAGCAATACTCACTTAATTGTGATAATTTGCAGACCGTACGGATCTTACTTAAGGAGTCTCCAAAGCTAGTTACAAAGCTGAAGCATATTGACGTCCACTCACATTGGTTAAGACAGGAGGTTGAGCATCGGAACCTCAATATTAAGTGGATAGCTACGTACGAGATGCCAGCAGACGGCTTTACTAAGGCCCTACCCCATCAGAAGCACAAGGAGTTCATTAAACATTTGAACCTTGTAGACATAAAGCATCTCCTATAGGAGTGCATACATACAACACAACCCCGTACGAAGCACTGGCTACCTTTGTACTATGGAAAGCAGCCCCCTAGACCAAAGAGTCTAGTCTTCTACTTCACTAACTGAAAAGTGAGGCAAGACAAGAATAGCTAATGGATGAGTTCCGTACGGAGGTAGAATTCTCAAAAGCACCAAAGCCACCTACAGTTACACCTAGTTTTACTATGTGTTCTTATTTCAACTTTCCCAATGGAATACCTTGGGAAATAATAAACATACACTCATTTGGAAGACTACACAACTCCGTACGACATAGATGCAATATATGCATGGAGATTTCACATTCATTTTTCGAAATTCCAAACCCATTTCAACAAAGGGGGGAAGGCAGACAAGAGCAGGAGAAATCCCTGACTTTTACTATACAAAAACAGGAGAATCACCCATTTTCCCACACAAACAACTACGTACGGACCTGTCACATTAAAATTGCAGAGAAATCCACTGTCATTTAGGCCTCATTCACAACCGAGAGCACCAGAACCCGAGAGCACCAGAACACCGAGAGCACCAGAACACCGAGAGCACCAGAACACTGAGAGCACTAGGGCGTACGGAAATTACCCACGAAGCTGAGCAGCAGCTTCTTCATCAATAGCTTTCTGTCGCACGGGTGCCAGATCTTTTCCCAGCTTTGGGAGATGGCGGAGGTGGTGGCGTGGCAGGTCTCCAAGTTTTCTTGTGGCCTACTATGTGTTAGTGTCGTACGCAGCATAGGAATCAACAGAAAGGTACAAACTTACTCAAGGAACAAGCAGCTGACTTGTGCTTCATTGCACAGTTACCACAGGCTCCTTCCTGCAGCTCGCCATAGTGATGGCAGGCAGAGAAGAAGGGACGAGCCCGAGCACTGCCCCGATCGTGTACACACTGGTCACAGCCAGCATCCATGTCTCCTACAGCCTGGATGTACCAAGCCGTTGTCTGTTGTGGGTGGTCAGACTCCACCACACCAGCAACACCGTACGGACGGGCCAATTCCACGCCAACCACAATTGGGGGTAGGGATGGTATTTTGACCCTCTCATACTCCGGCAAGTCATCATGGAGGTCAGCCCTGATCTCAACCAGAGCCATGTCTTGAGGCTTGATTTCACCAATAAACAGTCATTGTGAGTCACGTACGGAGCTGTGCGAGAGTGGAAAGTTGGTGCTTGGTAGTGGCGGAGGTGGGGGTAGAAAAAGGTTGTTGGCCCAGAACTCCACGGATTTGCCTGCGAGCCTTCCTACTTAGTATGCGGTACTGGGATACATGGGGGGGTGTTGTAATATGTCACATGATCTCAGCACCACTTCCCCGCAATTTCAGGCAGCAATAGATAGACAGGAATACACACGCATATTACTCAACAACATCAGTGTTGGGAGTAGGGACGTGCGCTATGGAATACGGTGGCCTTTTGGCCGTGAAAATGATCGTTCTGGAATACCGACCGTCGAAGTCTCAGGACGGGTTTCGGGTTGGGTCGTGATGCACACTCTGCTTCACCAACAGAACCTGGTGTATACTGGGTAGGCTGCGCACTACTCGCTCAATACTCGGCTCACTCGCTCAGTGGGTTACTCAGCTGGGTGAGTAGCTGAACCTTTTACTCGACTCGGTGAGTGAGGTCAATACTCAGTTACTCTGTAAAAACCCGGTGAGTACTCGGCTATCACGTGTAAGATTTATGCATCATGTGAACAGTCGCTCATACGATTAATACTGTTTTATGGTTAAGTTAAAGTATTACATCTATTAGCATCACTCTCGCCATCTCTAGTAAGCTGTGAGAACGAATCATGTATATTCCTCTATCTAAGTACCATGATTATCAGAAGATTATTAGAACGCTATTATCTATTATATATGCTTAAGAACATCCCTCCACCTTGCTTGATGAGGCCGGCCAGACCTACTAATACCTAAAGTATTTATAGGGTCTTGATGAGGATCCTCGACTGAGCGGAACGAGCTATGAGTCAAGATAACTGTGTATAGAACTTGTTCATAAAATGTCTCTTGTGTGAGAATATGATCTTATTATAGGTATTAACCTACATAATTCTGGTAATAATCTGGTAATCCTTACTTGTTGAGGTTGCATTTGATTGATTCGCATTTGATAGAGACTATCCTTCCCATCTGTGACTTCTTTTTGCAAATGTCTGATGCAAGATGTGTTGCCATAGACTTTGGGCCAGCAGACTTGATTGCAGGATGCGTAAGGGCCTTCGAACAATAAGTACAAATAACACATGGTTCTCCAGAAAGCCGGTCTGCTCCTTGGTGATAACTTCTCCAGTATTGAGAACTCCAGTTGGTTGAATCCCATGCAATCTTCATAAGGAGTTTTGTAGTATGATCTGAGTGTTGTTCATACCATCGTGATAGCTTCCACCACTCAATGAATATATCGTGTGTATCCTTAGTCCATTTGACGAATTGGTTTAACTTGCCAATATATTCAAGGCCTGCAGGGACTTTGTAAGGATGCCTGTCCCTCAGTGATGGAAAGGATCTGAGTCGGGCAGGTTACGGTCACATGATAAGAGTTAAGGCAGGTTAGCTGAGTCGGACCCGTTTCGGGTACTTAAGGAGATTGACCCAACGGGGGTTCCTCTCTTCATCTTTTTTGTATCCTTCGTAGTAGACCTATAGGATAGCATCCGTTTAGCCTCTGACTCGCACTCTCATATGCTATTACTGTGAGCTGGGTGCCCTGTGTCCTTACAGACTTGATTTAATGAGGATAGTCGTTGAGAAGACGGAAAAGAGTCTGAGAATACTGTCAGAATCAAACAACTCTGAGTATTGAGATGGCATTTGGCAAATTGCTCGATTATCAGAAGGTTACCAGAAGTCT